AGTTTTTAAATGCTGTTGGTGCAAGTTATGTCTTCTCAAGCAGTGGATTCAGGTACCACCATCCAAGATGTGAAATATATGACTATTATAGAGATTATGGTGTGTTAAAGGGAGCAGTTAGTCATCGTTATACTTGTTATCGTCGCTTGCGTAATGGTAAATACAAACTTGAGAATGAAGATTCTGAAATGGCCATTTATGTTACCAGTATAATAAGAAAAGATCATAATAATCAAGAGGTTAAGTCATTTTGTGTAATAAAGTTTGATTTAAAAAGACAAAATTTTTATTGCACTGTTTCTGTTAATCCATTATATCATTGTTTTAACTTTTATGGGTAGTGTCTATCGTGTGATTTTATATTTCAGTTTAGTAACTCAGTTATTATTCTTTTTCTCTCAGTTATTATTGTTTTGTAGCTAGTCTTTCATTTTTCTTATTTTTATTAATGATTTTATATTTTAGGCTGTTTTTAAAATCTTTTTTAAAATTTTTACCATTATTTTAAAATAAGATTTATTAGTTCTTTTCCCTTTAATCAAATCAGTCACATTATTCACGTTCATTAGTACCAGTATTATACAATAAACATCAGTCGGTCAGCCAGTCCCAGTACCACTAGTTACTGTTCAATTGTAAAGACAGTCAGTGAATAGATACAATGAACTGAAGGTGTGTATCCTACACTATCAATGGAGACTAAGAGTAAGAGCACTCAGTACTAGGAGGATCATGTTAATGTATTAGTAATAGGAACTGCTGGGACTGGTATATCAACACTAGCCAATGGATTGTGGGGTAGGAAGGTAGCACAGACTGGGAGGGGGAGGAGGAGGTAGGTCAGTTTAAATGTACTCTAGGAATTACTGGTGATCTTTGCTCAATGTTTTAAACATTAGATAGCTGGATGTTAACCGAGGAGATGTGGAACAGATCAGTTGTACTTACTATTGCTATGTCTTCATTAATTTGGACGGCATCAAAAATAAGAGCCCTCTTGCTAAAAGTATGATTTAAAAGATCAAGTCACAAAGTTCAATTATCAAATTCGTAGCTTCCAACCAAGAACTGGCTGGTTGATCTATTGGAGGAATGCATTGCTAAATGTAGTCTTGATGTACTTGATTTTTAAAAGAATTCAGACTAGTACTGAGAGAGTTTGTAATAGTGGCTAGTGCAGTAGGTGGAGGTTACAGGAGTCATTGGGTCTATATTGTACCTATGGTAGGTATATACTTCAATAGGAGCTGGTATTGGAGCTAAATATTGCTACTGGGGGAGTGTCTGCTTTTATGGTTATACTTAGTGAGAGACTGAGACATTATAGTAACTGAGCTGTGTTTAGTAATAATTAATGCTACATCAGCGTATAATGTTCTTTGAAGTTTATGTATGATATTTATAGTCTGTAATCTGATTGGTCAGTTACTATTATTCATGGCTAGTGTGTATCAAGAGTGCAGACAAACACTTATTTTGCTAGTATGGCTGAAGCTTAGTCTACAGCTATAGAAGAAGAAGCAGAAGATGACAGTGAGATAGTAACAATTTATGGCAATGAGAATGTGAAATGTATAACTATTATAAGGGAAGTAGTAAATTAAAGAAAGCAGTTAGTCATCATTATATTGTTATAGTCGCTCGAATAAAAATTAAAAACTTGAAAACAAAAATTGTAATATGGCCATGTACGTTACCAGTATAGTTTTTTTCATGACAATAGAATCTAATGCTAATGCACTATAAACTATAATATACTGATACATTATTATTGTTATATCAGCATTTATATTTGTGAAATTTTCTATAAATAAGTAGTGACTACCAAAAGGGCATAATAGTAACATACCGTAAATCTTCTAAAAATTCGGCAAATTAAATTCACTTTAAAATCAGTAATATTGAAAAATTAGAGGTTAAAAATGTTCTTTTACTTTTAAATAATTTTTATTGACTAAATTGGAGGGAGGGTCATTGCAAAGTCTCAGCTGCTTGGTAAGGTAGACTGAAGCACGTGGTCAATCATGAGCCAAAATAAGAGGATTATGTTGAAATTAGAATACTCAGCCAGTAATTTTGCATAATCAAATAATTAGAGGTAATTTTGTGAAAATTTGGAAAAAATTATTTAATTTGACGAAGTTAGAGTGTTAAATTTTTAGAAGATTTACGGTACCCACTAAAAGTAGTACAATATTTTAATATTACTAGAAGAATGTAAAACATTAAAGGGTCCACCTCCTGGCCACACCTTCTAGTCCCACTCAGACATGCAATTCTTCTGCTTCAACTGTAAGGCCATCGCCCAATAATTTTGAAGCTTCAATATTCATAACCTGTAATCTGATTGGTTAGTTATCATTATTCATGGTTTGTGTTACCTAGTTACAAAAAACAAAGTCAAGGCAATGGCTGAAAAAAACTATCGTCCAAGAGAAAACAGCATATTGGAGAAGCCTGAATTTATGGAATTAGTTGAGGGAACAAGTAATACTAATTTAGACGAAGAAGAAGTGAGAAGGATAGAAGAAGCTGTACAAAGATTAAGCGAATGAGAAGATCCAGTTAATATATTAGTGATTGGTCCCACTGGAGCTGGTAAATCAACACTCATCAATGCTTTACTGGGAGACACTGTAGCTAAAGTTGGTCATGGAGCAGCATCAGTTCAGTCTGAAGTTAAAGTGCATGAAGGAGAACATGAAGGAATACAGTTAAAGGTCTATGATACTGCTGGGTTCAGTGATACAAGAGGGAAGAGTGGCAATAGCATTGTCAAAGAGATTGCTGAAGCTAAAAAGTTTGATCTGATACTGATCTGTATCAGAATGGATAGCAGAGCAGATGAAAAAGTTAAAGATATGTTCAGAGTTCTTGCAGCTAACATAAAAAAGGAAATGTGGGATAGATCAGTGATTGTTTTGACATTTGCAAATGCATTCCTTCAGCTAAAAGATATTAAGAAAGAACTCAACAAAGAAGATATATTAAGAAAAGAGATAGAATACTTCAAAGGACACATTCAAGGTTTCTTTAGCAGCACAGATGAGATACCATTCTGTATCGCTGGAGATGATGATGAACTAAAACTACCAACAACTCAGGACTGGATAAAAGATTTATGGGATCAATGTGTTAGACGAAGCAGTGAGGACGCCCGTAGTTTCCTTCAATCGTTAGCAAAGTTTCGAATAATGCTAATAAGTGCGGGACCTATTTATGGTGGGATTGCAGCTGGAGCAGTAGTGGGTGGAGCAATAGGCGGAGCAGCAGGGACAGTACTACCAGTAACAGGGAATATAATAGGAGCAGCAGCAGGAGCTGTGATTGGTGCTGGAATAGGAGCTACCATTTCAGGTGTGGTAGTAATGAAACGTAAGAAGAAGGGACAACCTCCAGACACAGAACAAAAGAAGTGAACTGGTCTACTTGTACATGATACTTAATGCTGTTATTGTTATTATTAATACTGAATGTTATTTGTGTTGCTGTTCCCTACTCTTTGATTGTGAGCATTTACTTAGTCAGTTTTGATTTTTGTGATTAATAATTAAAGATCAAATTCAAAATGGTGACAATTCACAACTGCGGAAAAATATGTTACAGTAGTAGACACTAGAATATACCAATTACAATTAGTGTATGTAGTAGGAGTAACATGTACCATGTACTATAGCACAGGGACAATACTATAATTGAAGTGAATCCTACTTAGTAACACTACCTCGTTACAACCTCACGAGTAACTAAAGTGCCTTCCCCTTCCATGCAGTCTGTGCTACCTTCCTACCCAACAATCCATTGACTAGTGTTGATTCACCAGTCCCAGCAGTTCCTATTACTAATACATAACATGATCCTCCTAGTACTGAGTGCTCTTAACTCATCACTAGTCTCCATTGATAGTGTAGGATACTCACCTTCAGTTCATTGTATCTATTCACTGACTGTCCTCACAATTGAACTGTAACTAGTGATACTGGGGCTGGCTGACTCATGTTTATTGTATAATACTGGACCTGGTACTAATGAATGTGAATGTATTATTAATGTGACTGATTGGATTAAAGGGAATAAAACTAATAAATCTCATTAAAAAAGAAAAGCACTTCATAAAACTATAAAATCATTACTAAAAATAAAAATGAAAGACTAGCTACGAACAATAATAACTGAGAGAAAAGCAACAATGCTGGATTGTGGGGTAGGTAGCACAGACTGGGAGGGGAAGGTATAGGTTGAAGGATACCATATAGGGCATAATTTCACTGGATGCAAATTTCGCGGATAAAGTAAATTTGCGAAAATAAAATCCGTAAATTTCAATTTAATACAGTACCTGCATGGCACACATGGTAGAATTCGTGAAATTAAAATCCGCAAATTCGAATTTTCGTAGATTTTGCAAAATTTACGTCCCACAAACATTATGCCCTATATGGTATAGAGATGATTAGTAACCTATACACTCATGACAATAGAATCTAATACTAATGCAACATAAACTATAATAATACTAATACACTATAGAGCTATATCAGCATAATTATTACAAGAATGGTACTCTTGATAATAGATAGGTCAGCTAATAATAGTAATTAGCACAACATTAGAGTAACCAATAAGAGGAAATGAACTCATAAGGTATCGTGGTAATTGGTAAAGCCCTTCATCATTATTTGATACAATGGCTAGCTGTCAGGGCCCTACTGAAAACAATTGTTCCATTCAATCAGTTGAACAATATAATAGTAATTTCAATGAAAAAGAAGAGAAGCAGATACAAGATGCCATACAAAGATTGAGTCAAAGAGAAGATCCTGTCAATATATTAGTGATTGGTCCCACTGGAGCTGGTAAATCAACACTCATCAATGCTTTACTGGGAGACACTGTAGCTAAAGTTGGTCATGGAGCAGGAGCAGTAACGTCTGAAGTTAAAGTGCATGAAGGAGCCTATGAAGGAATACAGTTGAAGGTCTATGATACTACTGGGTTCAGTGATACAAGAGGGAAGAGTGGCAATAGCATTGTTAAAGAGATTGCACAATCCAATAAGTTTGATCTAATACTGATCTGTGTGAAAATGAATCACAGAGCAGACGAAGGAGTCAGGAAGATGTTCAAAGTTCTTGGAGAAAACTTGAGACGAGAAATGTGGGATAGATCAGTGATTGTACTGACGTTTGCAAATGCATTCCTTCAGCTAAAAAATATTAAAAAATTACCCAACAAAGCCGAGATAATAAAAAGTGAGATAGAAGATTTCCAAGGACATGTTCATGGATTCCTTAGCCCCACATTGGAGAAGGAGACCATTGATGAAATACCATTCTGTATCGCTGGAGATGAGGACGAGAGACAACTACCAACAACTGACGACTGGTTAAAAGAACTGTGGAATAAATGCATCAAATGAAGCAGTGAAGATGCTGGCAATTTCCTCAAATTAATAGCAAAATATCGAATATTGTTAATGAAAGCAGGAGCTGTCAGTGGTACTACTGCAATTGGAGCAATGGTGGGTGGAGCAATAGGTGGAGCAGCAGGGACAGTTGTACCAGTAACAGGGAATATAATAGGAGGAGCAGCAGGAGCTGTGATTGGTGGTGGAATCGCAGCCATTATTACAGGGATTGTAGCGGCTGTTAAAAGAAAGCTTGAGAATAGAAATCAACCACCTCCAAACACAGATCAAGAAGATTGATAGTGTTACAATCATTACTAATGCTATTTCCCAATATTCTAGTACTGTGAACATTTAATTACTAATTTGGGTGAATTCTTCATTAATAAGTACTATAAGTAGTGATTAATAAAAAATTTAGTCAATGATCAACTTCCAAATTTGGTACAATTCGCGACTGAAAAATACATTACAGTAGGCGTTAGAATGATGTCAATTATAATTACTGCATACAGTACATGTAATTACTATTAGTTGACTGACCTGTTGCCATGACAGCACAAGTGTCCCTCCTATCCTTCAGTATAGAGTGTATGATCCTCCACTGCTCACTAATTAGAATAATTATTATGATATGAAAAAATTAAATCAATTTTTGATTCCAATGTCTCATTAATTAACTTACGTTTTAAAATTCGAGTGACCAAACGATTCCTTCAGTTTATCAACATGATCCTTTGTAGGAGGAGGAATATCTGAACAACAAAAACAATAAACAACAAATAAATAAGCAAAGAAGTGTATTATTTACCAGTATATTGATCATCTCCACCAGTAGACATTGATCCTCCTTCATTATCCATTATCATACAGTCAGTCTCCTCTCCAATCCACTGACCGTCAGTGTCTCTACTACTCCTGTTAATCTGGTGGGTCTCTTGCTCTAAGCATATGCTCTCAAACAGTTTAGACGCTTCCTCATTTTGAAGCATCTCCTCCAACCCACAGTCGTCCCAATCATCAACACTCTCATCATCATTAATACCCTCGTCCTGTTCCCCTCCTCCTCTGGTTCCTGTGAGGTCCTTCAGGTGTTCTTGAGGTGTGGTTATTGTGGGTATGTGGTGGGAGGGGTCTGTTTCTATGGTAACGAGAGGCGACAGGATGATT